TGTTTTGTGTAAAAAGTAAAATATATTTTTTGTAGATTCTAGAAACAAATATAATATAGATACATTTTTTTTAAGGGGGGAAAATCATCGAATGACTGCTCCCGCCTGGGCGAGGCGGGATGGAGTGTCAGACTCTTACTTCTCCTGCACGTCGAGTCGGAGCCCCGGTTACCCGTTAGGTTCTCCGCGACAATATAGATACATTATGACATACCTATCTAGTGAAAAAAATTGGTAATTTTTGAAAAAAAAATGATACAGACCTCTTAAAATGTAAAAAGATGTGTTTATACTCGTTATGAAATTGTAGCACTTTTGTAGGTAAATAGAAATAAATTTGATAAAAGCTAAAACCAATTTCCTAAATAATAACCGAAATTAATTAATTATGGGATGACATCTTAAACGGTACCTACCTAAACTAATACCGAAACCCAGGTAAAATTCCAGGCTCCCACCATGGTTATCTGAAATTGTGCATATAGAAAGTATAACAACATACCTCTATGACTGCCTCGTTGGCAGAGTGGTTACAAGTGCGACAGCCGGGCAAGGGGCTTCGGGTTGGATTTGTGGGTTGGGTAAAGTATTACTGGGTTTTTAAAAAAAATCTCAGTATATGTATATGGCAATAGGGTCACTCCTTATTATATGGGACTCATAACATAAATAGTAAAAAGTGGGTGTTACTAATGTAACACTCATTTTTCACTGTATAATTACAGTGGCATTAAGGATTAAGGAAGTGGCGTAATTTGCACATCAGTCTACCCCTTCGGGCATAAAAGGTGTGATGTCATGTTATGTAGTATAGAGCTCTTTATTGTTTTTAAATATTTGACCGACGAGGTAGTAAACTTTTGTGTGAGAAGCTACTTATATAATCCAGGAGGCAGGATTGGACCTCCGATTACTTCATTTATACGGCAACACACAACATAAGCGTTGTTTAACGCTGATTTTCTGTAAGGTATCATTCCAGTCGAGCCGGTCCATTTGGGCTGAAGGATGGCTTTCCCACTTGCATGTAGTTCATTTCTATGTGTGAAACCATTATCCATGTAAATATTGTTATTTAAAAACTTAATTATTAATTAATAGATAGATTTTGCAAAAACACCTTGATAAGTTACGAAAAACTTCCAAATGCCAAAATTTATATATTTAAACTTCTTGCACACAAAATGAAATGTGCTAATAGGCATATAAAATGTATCAATGTAACTTTATGTATTTTATTATACATTTTATTAAGAACTAGACTGTTTATTGTGATTTAGAGAAAATTACATGGGATGGGAAGATAAGATATGGGAAAAGTGTCGGAGAGCCTTGCTTCGTGTTCCGGGTGACCATGGGCGACGCCGATTGCTTACCATCAGGTGATTCGTCTGCTCGTTTACCGGCTTATCCCATAAAAAAAAGCTTATGCTTAAGCTATGTATTTTTTCTACATTTTTAGTGTTTATCTAACTCTATCTATAATCTATTTGTGTTTTTTTCTATTACTACCCTTATTTATTTTTCTGTCTTTATATCATACCTAGCTTTATAATTTTCACCACCGACTAAAGGAAGGGCATTGTTTTTCGCAAATGTACTTTTTAGCACATCTTATTCTCACCTTTATATATTTTAATTAATCTATCCTTAAAATAGCGTCGATTTTATAAATATGGTCGAACGTATGTAACATGAAATTATTGTTTTCAGAATCTACATTTTCATAAAATTTTTACTTTCTTGGCTAATTATTTTCTGAATAAAATGTGTATCACAGTGGCTTAAATATCTATTGTACTCGGTGAAATCCAATAAATAGTACCACATTATCAACCAAAAAAGTATACTTCCCCATTTTGTATATGAATACCGTGAATTCATCATCAGTTTGTAAAGGAACCTATTTTCCGCACGATTTTCATATGATGATATTTTTAAACTTAGTGCTGGACATAGTACCAAACATATATTCGCTATTCTTTGCTTCCATGAAAGTATAGGTTTGCAGTTTAAACTTCGTATTAGAGCATAAATTGTAAAATAACACCATGATTAAAATTAGGCATACTTAAAAATATAATGCAGATGCTCATGAGGTTTGTTGGTCCTATCGCTCAGAAGTGTTATTTACTTATTTTGTTTTTTACTTATTTACTGAAGTGGAATCCCCAGGGGTAAAGTTCGGCACTGGCGGCGCACTATAGTGGCAAAAGTGGTGAGCATCGGCATGACGTGGAGCGACGTGAAGCAGAAAACTATAAAATGAACAAAATAGAGGACTTCTTCACAGAGCCTTTGCCCCATTTAGGGGTCATAGAACTTTATTGCTTGTAATTTACTGGAGTCAAAACTGAATATTAACTACCAGTTTCATTCTGTCTACCTATTGCTCTATGAGTACTGTTGTTTATTTAGGTACGTGTGCATGCTAGGTCAATATCTAAATGTTTAGGTAGTATAGCTTGTACACTCAAACAAAAAATATAGGTATTTAAAAATAATTATTTATTATTGACATAAATGTAAGTATATTTTTGGTAATACAATAAATTAAATAACAAAGTCTTATAAATTAACCGAGGAGAGAAGCAACGACTGCGGGTGGGACGGCTCCTCCGGGACCCTGTTCGATCTCGGGCTGGTAACCGTTGTCGTCAGCAACGTAGTTGACACGGTAGAACACACCGTCAGGTCCCACCCAGGTGAAGGAACCCTTCACAGCGATGGACTCGTCCTCCTTACCCGCGTTTCTGATCTCAGCTTGCTGCTCAGCACCGGTACCATCAGTCAATTCAAATCTAGAACATAATTTTCAAAATGTTTTTTTTTGAAGAGGATAACTAACGTGATAAGTAAATAATCTACGATAATGCTGGAATGGTATTGATATATTTAGTAAGTAATTAGGGTAGACATTATCTTTGATAAAAACAAACAATTATTCTTTCCGTAATTTCTTTCTTTTACTGGCAGATGAAAAGAAAACTTACGCGTATCTGTAGTCTCCGAGTCCCAGGTTGTCGTTGTCATATTTGACAATTTGCACGTTGTCTGGGGAGTAGTTTACCCTTGAGGGAGGGGCAGCGACCGCCACCGCGACAAAACAGAGAGCTACGATCTGTAAAATATAGAAAAAATATATTAGGCACCAATGGTTTAAAATTATTATAAGAAAAGAGAGCAAACATTTGGATAAAAGATAGAAATATGTTTGTGCAGTTCTAGGACTTTTACAACTTTAGGATCGATTTTGTAACACTTTCTAATGCTTATTTCGAACTACATTTTTTTTGATAGGTACTTTCAATAACACAATGTCACTACTAAAACACTTTTGACATGTTGATGTACCTCAGAATTAATTTTACTGATAACACTTATTAAACAGTTTACTAAAAAAAGTGCGCTAAAAAGTCCGTCTAAAAGAAAACTAAGTTTTTTTCATATCACTTAACTATATATACAAAATAAAACAAACCAGTTTCATGTTTGAAGTGCTGATTTCACGGATAGATAAAGTGAAGTAACGAATCTCACATGAAATTCGGTCTTTATATCTAGCACGAACTTTGATTTGATTTTATGCTAATAGCAACAGAAGGTGAACCGCTTGACAACACATATAATGTAATTCCCTTTATCAATGAATAAACAAAACTTTTTTAGACCGAACTTGCACAACCCACAGAACTGTCAATTTAATCGAATTGAAAGAGTAGGTAGGAGTATAGTACATTTGGAGTTCAACCAACAAGAATGATTACGTTAATATTCACTGGTTTAAAAGTAAACACAAACAAAAGAATAAGGAATATGGATACTTCATCAAATCTATAGGAAATCAATGAAATATTTCGAGAGTAATTAACATCCTTATTAAAAAGTCAACTGCACTGTTGGCGCAGTGGTTGGACAAACGGTTGCCGCAAAACGTATAGCGGGTTCGATTCCTGCACGGAGCAACTATTTGTGTGATCCACAAATCTCATGTGCATGTGAAATTGTATGATTGTAAACGCACCCACGACTCAGGAGAAAATAGTGAGGGGTAACGTTTTTTTTAAATAAAGAAACAAAAAAGAGAAAATAATTTCGTTTTTCAGCAAATCTTTGCTCCTCACTGAGATTTTGTGCTGAGTTGTAGATGCTTTCATACACATAACACATTGTACGCAATCTTTTGAAATTGAGTGTCGGTCAAATATGAACTTAATTGACATCAAATAATAACAATAAGGTTCATAGTCCTACACCAGGTATAATTCCAGGTTTCATCTTGTTACTGATTAGGTTTAAATTAATTTCAACTCTTAAATCTATTACCAGACAATGAAGTCGAAACATTAACTTATTCTGACTGCACGATTGGCGGGGTAGCTAGGGAATCGGCTGTCGAACAACGTGTAGCGGGTTAGATTTTCAAGCAGCTCTTCGTGCGATTCACTAATTGTTGTTTTAGGTCTAGGAGTCATGTATATGTGAAATTGTATGTTTGTAAACGCACCCACGACACAGAAAAACCTCCTAGGGGGGGGGGGGGGCAACCTTTGTATTAAACAAAAAGTAAAATAATCTGAAAGACCTAATTTATCATTATATTTATCATGCTAAAGTGATTTCTTTACCACTTACAATTTCTCTATTACAATTTACGACCTTATCGACCTTATGTGTTAGTTTCCTTTCTCTGACTAGTCTCCTTCTATTTCTTCTCCGAAAGTTATGCATGAGTTCTTTAATCTTTTGAGATTTAATACATTCATCATCATCATAAATCAGCTACAAGACGTCCGCTGTTGAACACAGGAACGACTCCTTACGTAAGCCTTATCTTGTGGATAACCTGTATCTTGCAGACGAAACATATTTTCACCTGTCTCTTCTCTGTGCTCATGTGTGCAGTATTTGTAATTAACTGTCAAATAATTATTTTATAAACTACGTTTAAACTGCCTCATTGGCCGAGTGGTCGCAAGTGCGACTGCCGGGCAAGGGGCCTCGGGTTCGATTCCCGGGTAGAGCAAAGTACTATTGGGTTTTAAAAAAATTCTTAGTGGTAGCACGGAGTCTGGAATTATGCCCGGTATATGTCAATAGGATCATCCCTTATTACATGGGACTCATAAAATAAATAGTGAAAAGTGGGTGATACATTGTACACTTTTTTGTTTATTTTTTTTTAAGGGGGGAAAATCATCGAATGTCTGCTCCCGCCTGGGTGAGGCGGGAGGGAGTGTCAGACTCTTACCGACTAAAAACCACCCCGTTCCTTCTCCTGCACGTCGAGCCGTTGTACACTGGCATTAAGTGCCGTAATGTGCACCTCTGCTTACTCCTTCGGGGATAAAGGTGTGATGTTGTTATGTTACTACGTTTAAGAAACCCCTATTGTTTGGAAGTCGATTAATTAATATACTAAAACTTTCTCCTAAGTGTAAAGAACTCTTTTCTGAAAAACGACATCAAAATCGATTCATCCATTTGCGAGACAATCACGGATAACCATACTTTACATACATACATACAGGTCAAGCAGAATACCTCCTTCTTTTTTTTAACGTTGTTTAAAAATATATTGTTCTGCAGGTAATCACCCTATTCCTATTTGCATTGCTTCTTTATTTTTTTTTTGTTTTTGTTTTTCTATTGTTATGTTCATATGTCCTATGCAAACTTATTACGTAGATACCTACTTTATAACAATTGTTGTAGCGGTAATTGTAGGCTCCATAAGCAATCAATTTTGGTTTATTAATCTGTTTTTTTTTAGTAGGGAAATTCATCCGATGTCTTCTCTCGCCCGAGTGAGGCGAGATGAAGTGTCAGACTCTTACTGTCAAAAACCACCTCGTTTCTACTCTTGCACTTCAAGCCAGACCTCGGCAACCCGTTCAGTCCTCCGCGGCTCTCCGGGTACATATTACTTATTATCATATTATTATCTTGCTCGCATATTTTGCTTTCTCTTAAGAGATCGGTGCAGGTGTAATCTGTGCAAATATTAATTTTAAGGTTTAAATGGTTGAGGTTTATTAGAGAGCGCTGCTCCAGTCTCTGTCAATGTGTGGTCTTTAAGCCTGAACCCACGTAAAAAGACAAGGGGTATTGACAAACGGGTTGTATTCTGCCTACCTATTCATGATATTTTTTAGATATTTTATAGGTACGTATATACCTAAATGATACCAATGCCAATGATGAACTTTATAATTTCATTGTCAGAATAAAATTTTAAAGGAGACGATACGCGTAATGAATGTCGCTGTCTTGTAGGAGCGGACATGTACAGATACATGTTAATTCGTTTATCTGTTTCAATTAAATAAATCAGATTGGCACATGCACTACTGAAAATTGTTCACATTTGTGTGTATTGATCTCTGTAGCTATATTGGTCTAAAATTTCTTGTTTTATATTTTTTATTCATAAGACTTGTCTTGTTTTAGTTTAAAATTGTTTTATTTTTTTGACATTTTTGTATTATTATGTCGAACTTTCGAACAGCTGGCTATTTAATCCATACCAGATTATAAAATTCTAATAGATAATGGAAATGTAAGAAAAAAAAATCCAAAAAAATACAATTTAGTCAACAATTTTAATAGTAATATTATACATATTTTTGGTAATACAATAAATTAAACAACAAAGTCTTATAAATTAACCAAGGAGAGAAGCAACGACTGCGGGTGGGACGGCTCCTCCGGGACCCTGTTCAATCTCGGGCTGGTAACCGTTGTCGTCAGCAACGTAGTTGACACGGTAGAACACACCGTCAGGTCCCACCCAGGTGAAGGAACCCTTCACAGCGATGGACTCGTCCTCCTTACCCGCGTTCCTGAGCTCAGCCTGTTGCTCTGCGCCAGTACCATCGGTCAGTTCAAAACTGGAAAATAATTTTTAGTCTTTAATTTTACATGGAATACAAGTATTTATAAGATTTTCCAAAAATATTAAAATCTGTTTCTAGAGGGGTCTTATAAAAAAGAATACACCAAAAAAACTTAATTATTCTTGACTTAAAATTTTTGAGAAATCATGTAAAAAAAAATATTTTCCTCACAATTTTACTTATTCTATTACCGTCAATGTACTAAAAAATAATTACTTTGACTTTCATAGGAAAAGGTGAATGAATGATTCTTGGAGTAACACTTACGCGAATCTGTAGTCTCCGAGTCCCAGGTTGTCGTTGTCATATTTGACAATTTGAACATTGTCTGGGGAGTAGTTTGCCCTTGAGGGAGGGGCAGCAACCGCCACCGCGACCAAGCAGAGAGCTACGATCTGAAAATGAAAATTTGAAATAAAATATTTGACTTTAAGTCTTATGCTGAAAATAAAATTGAACAGAATTTGAAACTGTAAAACTTTATTGAATTGTGAAGCCCAAGGAAGGTACTAGAGCTTGACAAAAAACCTTTCAGTATATAATTATGCATATTATTTGTAAAAATGCACTTGATTTTTAACAGAATTCAAAGTTATGATTTCTTAAAAATAATTTCTTTCACTTTAACACTGTTTTAAATATAAGACAAAGAACGGGCGCAAAAAAGTCCTTTCGATTTCGTCGAGTTCGCGTAGATTAGATGCCTATTAATATTTCACTTAACACAATTTCACACAAAATAGAACGAACCAGTTTCATGTTTGAAGTGCTGATTTCACGGATGGATACAGTGAAGTGACGAATCTCACATGAAATTCGGTCTTTATATCTAGCACGACTTTTGATTTGATTTTATGCTAATAGCATAACAGAAGGTGAACTGCTTGACAACTCACATAATGTAATTCCCTTTATCAATGAATAAACAAAACTTTTTAAGAGTAATCTTACTCAACAACGCGGTTGCTGAACATATTAAATTAATTTAATTATATTATTAGATTACTAATTATGTAAATTTTTAAAGAAATGCTTTTACTACAGATGGATATAAAGCATATTTTGTTTTGTCACTATCTGGTTTTTTAAGAGAGTGTAATCTATTTTCGTGTATAATTATAATTTTTTCTGATGATGATATCTTACATTAATAGATTTGGCAAAAATCCTTGATATAGTTACGAAAAATATCAGAATTCTAAATGTCTAAGTTGAGCTATTAGCTTAGAGGTTGAGTCGGCAGATGGTTCATTATTACTTCGTAATATTTTATTATTAATCGAGTTCATAAAATGTTATTTTTAGTGTAAAATAAATCGTTAGCGATACAATTTAGTGTTTTTAAAAACTTCTTTGCAAATTATGTGAAATTTCGTTTGTTCCGTTTTGTCCGTGAGTATGAACATTTCACACATTCATAAACAATATGTCCAGGATGTATAATTTATTGACTTTTATCGTTTTTATAGTTGATCAAAGCTTTTATCACAATGCATGCGAAATATTCTTTATATTTTGACGTCAGGTTTCACAAATATCAATTTTTATGACTTGTAAATAAAACAAATAATTTGGTAATAATAGCTTGTAGATAAATCTCTGAGCATCACAAAAAACTCTATTGCATTAATCTTTGTAAATGTTAGTATAATAATATCAGATAATGGTCAATCTGGAATACAAATTAAATTGCATTAATTTGACATAGTTATAGTATATTAATAGGTACTGATGATTTATGTTGTGAGTACATGAATTTACATAAATACCACCATAAAAAGTTTAAAATAATTCATATAATGAAATGTCTTATATTCAATACTTAGCAAATATCTATTTGATCAACATTTTGGCTGTGATACTTAATGGCGAAAATCAAACTCGATTGAAGTCAGGCTAGCGTAGCAGTCCTAGAGAATATTCTTTCTATAATGTTATCATGTTCGAAATGAAAAATTATTGTCCACTCTGGGTTTTTATTTTAGTTCGAAACTTTAGTCTAAAACAGTGTGTTATATAAAGAGTACTGGATGACGTTAAAAGGGTGTGTTCGTTCAAATATTTCCTCTTCATGCTATAAAATCTACTACCTATAATAATATAAAAATGAATCGGGTTTTCCTTCCTGACGCTATAACTCCAGAACGCCCGAACTAATTTCCACGGTTTTGCATTCGTTGGAAAGCTTTCGGGATACATGAGGTTTATAGCAAAGAAAATTCACTAATCACCAAACGAAATGTTACATAAAACGAAGCCATTTGGTGGCAAAACGGGGTTCGCCGGGTTTTTTAGTATGTATATAACTTTGTAGATAAAGTAATTAAAAAAATTCGTAGTATTCATTTCTTGATATTTATGACAGTAATTTATGAAAGTAATGTTAAGTATTATAATGATTTAGTTTTAACTGGGCCTTGTATTGAACGGTTTAAGGTACAAAGTAATACAATAACTGGTTACCTTTTGGCGCTGTCAAATCGAAAAGGCCCTTAGGGCTGTTTACTGCTTGACTCAATTGGCCACAGGCCCTAATGGGCTTAATTACGCCACTAACCCTGCAATATATGTTTACTTAAGATGAATAATTATGCGGTTAATTAGTAATATGATATTACAAACAAGTGACATTGTAAGTAAGTGATATTTCAACTGTTTTATTAGTCGAGTAGACGTTAGTGTGACTGTATAACAGAGGGTATCGAGTTCAATTTCAAGTCGTGTAAATTCTATTTATTTTTTTATATATGTTTTTAGTTATAAATCGAGCCTATTTTTATATCTTTGATGGGCCGACGTTTGGCCACTATCTCACCAGTTGGTAAGCGATGCTGCGATGTATATATATTCATTTCGTTTATAGAGTAAGTAAAATTAATTTACGAATTACTATATAGTGAAAAATGTATATAATACCTATAGGTATACATATAATAAAAGTAATTGCATAGGTACTACATACCAAAAAATAAGATTAGTTCTAATGAACTTATGTAATTCTTAAAGCTAAAGTTAGTGTATCTTGTAGTATCTAGGTATTAAATAATACAGAATCCCAATAATTTAATTTAGGGTCTGCAATAAAATGTCCCATTCGCCTCTCAAGGTCTAAATAATAAAATATCAACTTATTAAAAGTCGTTTCTCATCTGAAATGATGATATACGATACATAATACGCGAATATTAACGCTAATACATTATTCGAAAATTATGCAAACATATTATTTATTTAATCCCCTATCGATTATGATAAAAAATAGAATTTATTTTTGTTACATACCAGCTGGTAGTATAGATTAAATATTTTCTAGGTTAAATATATATCTGTTGAGGTAAATATACATATAATCTAGAAATAAAATTGGCATAGATTTAAGATGTATTTATTAACTATGCTAAAATAACAGTGTTATGGATGCTATTCATATGCATTTTTATAATATAAATTAAGTTATTATCTGAAATGACCTAAACATACAGTACCTACTAATTTACAATTTTAATGCATTTTTGTAGGTCTTAATTTTCAGTGCGGGAAAGCCATGCTTCGGCACGAAAGGGCCGGCTCGACTGGGGTAATACCATGCCCTCAAAGAAAACCGACGTGAAGCAACGCTTGCGTTGTGTTAGTGAGGTTACCGGAGGCCCAATTACCACCCCTCCCCATTCTCCCTAATCCCTGAATCCCCAATAATGCTCAAAAGGCCGCGTTACGCACTTGTAACGTCTCTGGTGTTCCAGGAGTCCGTGGTCGACGCCGATTACCTACCATCAGGTGATACCATCAGGGTTCGTTTACCGGCATATCCCATAAAAAAGGTACATACATAGATTGCTCTCGTCAAGACCCATGTCCTCTAATATAAAAATAATAGTAGGTAATAGGCTTGCTTTTAACCAAAATGAGGAGAAAACTAATTAGTACGCTCGAGGAAGTTGACAGTGCAGTGTACGCCATAGTCGGACATACGGCAGCCAAATTGGCAGAAAGATGATGATGAAGTTTAGGGCCGAAACTAAGTCACTAAGTGAACTTCAATGCCCAACGACGAACGTTCCAAAAAATGTTGATTAGTGTTAGTAAAGCTAATGAGATATTCCAGAATTGACTCATTTGGTGTGACATTATTACTGTCCCAATTGAAAGACTGCAGTTATATTTTAATTAACAAATTATTACTATACATACACAAAGAAACCATTTAACAGTTCAGTTTTATATTGGAATTAATTATCAAGCTTTAAGCTTGTCTTACGACATTGAATGTTCATGCTTTTATAATGGATCAACTCAAAATTCCAATCATTCTTCTGTCCAATCGAAGTACAATTTCTGCATAAACAATACCCAAGATTCCTTCTATTTTTATCTCTTTGCGAAAATTCAATAACAACACAACGGCTGAACGTGAAAGCGTGACAAACGTGACTGCACGGCTGGTGCGGTGGCTGGGCAACCGGCTGCCGTGCAACGTGTTGTGGGTTCCATTCCCGCACGGAACAACACTTTGTGTGATCCACAAATTGTTGTTTCGGGTCTGGTTGTCATTGTGTATGTGAACTTGTATGTTTGTAAACGCACCCACGACACAGGAGAAAATCCTAAAGTGGGGTTATTACAAAGTTTATTTTTTTTTTAAATAAGACTTACTTTCGTATTTTAATATTATATAATTACGATGACATGTAATCCTTATTATGTTTGATCCATTTATATGTAAAAGTGATATAACATGATATTACTCAAAAACGAGTGGAAGATGCTCTTATTGCATAATAATCTTCGTAGAAAATGCACTCTAATGATTAAGGAAGTCACATTTAAATGTTCATTACCTTGCATAATTACGAAAATTAGTCCTTATCCATTTGCAATTATTTCAGTTCAGAAATATCTTTCAACTTACCTAATTATGTCGTGAAGTTAGAGTTTTTTATATATTGGACCTAACTGTCCCTTCTGTACCTTTTGTTTTTAATGTTTTTTTTTTATTAATTGTATCAAATATTATTGTTGGTTACACAGTAAAATACTTCATAATTTATCGTGTGATATTTTATTTAGTTAAATATTATTTATGTTTATCTTATGCCTTTTTTATATTCATCTACGATAACAAATTTTTATTTTTGAGAAATGCTAAAAGTAGTAAATCATTGCAAATATGCAGAAGTAATTAATATACTAACGGACCGATATTTTCACCAGATAAATTTTAACCGAAGAATAATTTTAGATATTTGACAATTCTTCCATAAAAACTGTCAAATGTCAATTTTATTCTATAGTTAATAATTAAGTGATGATTGAAAAAATTGGCCCTTAGGTAAATTAAATTCCAATAATAAAAATAATACGTCAAGTTTATAAAATCAGTTCCTTTATTATCTAAAACAATACTATTAAGGTTATTGAGTCAGTATATAAATATTATATACATCATCAAGAGTATTTACAGTCTTAAGAAGCTAATCTAGAAGTTGTTCTAGCCTAGGAGTGAGGCGACGACCGCTGATGGAACAGCACCACCGGGACCTTGCTGGATTTGTGGCTGGAAGCCATTTTCATCAGCAGTGTAGGTGACTACGTAGGTGACACCATCAGGGCCGACCCACGCGTACTGTCCCTGCACAGCGATGGCCTCATTTTCCGTGCCTTGGTTCTTAAGCTGTCCTTGTTCTTCGTGCTTGGATCCATCTGATAGCTCCCATCTGTAAAATAAACGTCAGTATTTAAACAACTTCTTGTGATTCCAGAGTGCGTCAAAATGCAACGAGTCCTTACGCGAAGCTGTAAGAATCCAATCCAGCGTTGTTGACGTCATATCGGAGGATCTGAACGTCCTGGGGATTCTGTTGGGGAGCAGCGTACGCGGCAGCGACCAGAGCAAGAACGATGAACTGTAAAAAGAAGTCTTCCGTTAATCCAATTCACATTTCACTTTTCACTAATCACAATCCATCACGTCACTGGGGTAGTAAACTAACCAATTTCATTTTGCTTGTTTTTTTGTGACTGTCTTCTTCAGAGTACACTTGATGTGTGGGATGATTACGTATCCAAACGGTTCTCTTATATACCAACGTCAGTATTTCTTCTAATACCGCGTTGCAACACTGCGGCTGGGCCAGTAAGGTGCTTCTTATTACCTATACTACAAGATCCAGCGTCTGGCACGACAGGCTACGTGGTATACGGGTACGTATATTACATGCTTTTAATCGATGTAGTTTTAGTGCCATCACGTGTTTGTAAACACTTAATTCACCATGCAATTGTATTATGTAAGAAATAATTGGCGTACAAATGTCAATGTTAATATGAATTACAAAAAAGTTTATTGTCTCTACCATTATTATACTTTTTTAACCATTTTTTTTTCATCTGATTGTGAATGCAGTTGCATTAATCCATAATAGCAAATGTATGCAGACGTAATAAATACAGACATTAATTAACCGTTATTGCACCTGTTTATTGTTGCTATTAACATTAGTAGCTATAAATGTCTTCTTTAACAAACATGTATTAGCTGCAGAAACGATATCTAATTGAAACTGAACATTTATGATTTAAATTAAACTTACAAGTTATTTTATGTAGATGTAAAGTTGGAAGTTGCCTTTGATGAGCATACATTTACTATCATAGATGCATACATCATACTACTGACCTTTTTAAATGTTTAACATTAGCAACTGTGTAAATATTTCTTTAACATTACGGTTGCCATAGTAAAATACACATATTTTTGCACAAGACCTATTTCTTCCATAGGTCAGCGCATATATTATGGACATGACATTCCGGAGACCACATGTGGGCGATGCAGTCATCTCGTCTCATCCATTATTTTTAGCACACGTTATCAACAAAATGTGCACAGGAAAATAAGCATTTTATATTTTAACGTTAAAATATTGTTTAAGTTATCCAAACAGACGGGGGTACCTACATTTATGACTTAAAGTTATTGGTACGAGTCCAAGATACTCAGAAAGAGTTTTTGGCAACGCACCCTTAAAAACCTACAAATTCTGTAGGATACATTTGAGCGTTCTTAAAAAGATCATACCCTTAGCATGGACCTGATTTCGAAATCTCAAGTTTCTGCTTATTATTAGACCAATAAGATAGCAACAGTGTTAAATTAAGTTTTAATTTCGACATTAAATATAAGTTTGGTAATTGCATATAGTATTGCAGATGATGTGATCATACGCCAAATTAGGAAAACCATTTTTGGACAAAAGCTAGTGTTGCTAGATATCATAATGATGTTCACATAAATTACGTTCTTAATTCACGATCTCCCTGGATTTAATTAATATTGCGTAATTTTAATCTTACAGTTTTGTTTCATTTCCCATGCAACAGTGCTTTCTGTAAATCTAGTTCACATTAATTGAAGAGAGACACTTCCTAGGTGAAGGATAGCAAACATACGAAACGGTAAATTAATTTGTATTCTATTTCTACATAATAATAACTTGGGTGCATGGCCAAGTAACATTTGCCCTGGAAACTATGTTAATTTATGAATAAAAATTACATAACAGTAGCAGAGTCAAATTAAGCGCCTACTTGTAATGTTGTAACTGTAATAGTTAGCACTCACAAAACATTAATCTACATTATTATTTGGTACAAACGTTAATGTACCTACTTCATGATTTCATGTTCGCCTATGATTCACAATGTAAGACGTATTATAGTGAATGGACAGGATTACATGGCGGCTTCACTTGTAATATATTAAGTAAGATTGACTTTTGCCCACGACTTCGCTTCTTCCCAGTCACAATTGAACTCTCTAGACGGTACCTATACATTATGTTCATAAGCAGACAGTGACAAAAGCCATTGAGTGCGTCCTAGACAGTTCATTAATTACTCATTTTAAAACAACATAACTTATCAATGACTTGAACAAACTGGTGGAAATTATGAGAATGATTTGGACACGTGTTCTATTAGCCTATTAGGGAAATTTGGAATATCAATATCTTACATCATATGTGTTAATGTGGAAATGTCGGTGAAATACTGTTGTAAAGGGTCTAATTTACGACGTTCCGACGCGACGTGTTGTTTATGACGAATTCTCTCATGAATGTCGAGACGTACTGACCTATGCGCGCCATGTGGAGTTTGAAGGCAATAGGTTAACAGCGTGCTGTCGCTACTTAACGCAACTGTTAAGCCTTAGAAGCCGGCAAGGCGTGGCTACTTACGACTGTGAGGCGAGTAATTGCTTCATTAATTAAGAGTGATAACATTACCCCGAGACCCCTTGCCCGGCACTTACTACCACTCGTCCAATGAGGCTGTCTAAGAATGATCAATACTATTTATTATGATTATTCCCACATCAACCATTCATAGTTTATTCAGTCAATAAGTATTGCATAAGGCTTTATTATATGCCGATATGAGCTCACATTATTCGTATATGGAGCAGAGGTAATGGTAAGTAACCGTAACCGCTTTCTTTTGAAAGTACTGACATTGATTGGGTGGAGCTCACTATATCTTCGTTTATGCAACGATGCCGCCTCATTCCCATTCATCTAGCCTCGTCTAGCTTTTTCAAAGACAGACAAAGTACTAGACATAATAAAGCCTGGACTGTAATTAGTTATCCTGACGTTAAGGTGTCAAACTAGTCTTTAAGGAGTACTTAATCAACATAGTATATTAGTTCTTTGTAGAAAAATACTCTTGTCTATTTACTAAATGTCTTTCATGATTAATAATAACAATAATGAGGTTAAAGGTATTTTGTGTATATGCAAAAAGTACATTATTGTAATGTAGGTCATTAGACACCTGCCTATGACCTCTAAACGTTTTGATACGTAATTTGTAGGTCAGTTTGTAGAAGGTAAAATGAATAAAATATAACTTCGGCCTATTTTGTTAGTCTGTTTCTGTATCATGTTCGATATATATTTATATATTTATCTAGGTACTGGATACCTTGATGATACATGTTAATACGGGGCCTTATATTAATACCCTTACGGGCGATTTTTCAATCATTAGTTAATTTTTAACTGTAGAATAAAATTGACATTTGACAGTTTTTAGTATTGAAGAATTGTTAAATATTCAAAGTTATTCTTCAGTTAAAATTTATGTGGCATTGGAAAAATGGGCCCTAAACACCTTTTACCTTTTTTTTGAGATTTTTCATTTAATTCCAGTATCAGTCTAAATTATTATATATCGAGGCATATAGATACATAATACATACAATACAGTGTGAGGTACACAATGCTGATTTTATTTGAATGATCAAAAGTGAAATCCATAGTACCTAAATACGTTTTTTTATAGCAGTACTATCTCGAATGTCGCTAACTGTACTCGAGTCAGCAAGAGTCATCGACCTCAGCTTAAAGTATTTTTTACGTACAATAAGTACTCTATAACTGAGTGTTTGTTTAATGAGTAATGTACAAGTATTTTTAAATAAGCATTACATTTGTTAGAAGTTCAAGGATATTCATTAATTCGAAAAAAAACTTACGTTGAACCACATTAAAGCAACTCAACAATAACTGTAAATAATCGTTATAGTCCATCCAATGATTTACTTAAAAAATCAAGGAATTTTAACATTTTCCTAAGGCTATGGGAAACTCCAATCGGCCTTTAACATTCTCATTGGACAAATTATTTCGAAGATGCATTTGATAATAACATAAACCTTAAAAATAAATTTTAACGTTGATTAAATAAGGTCTAAATTGGCTGTAGAAATATAATTCATATACCTCTGTAAACGAACAAACCACAGAGCTAAATGTAAAATGATGTGTGAAAGGTCAAGGTTTCACATTTTGTGATGGACATTGTAAAGAATTAGTTTAAGACTGTGTGAACACGCTGTATCAGTCTGGCAGACTCATCTCTTATGTAATCATAAGCTTTACAGGCGGAGATGCGGTGCATTTTTCATCTGTAGGTATCTATGAATACACATTGTCGATGATACTTACAACACAACCAAGTAAACATGCAAACACGTGGAATTTCTTTAAAACATAAGTAACTTAACCATTGAAATAGGTGATTTGAGAAATAAAATTGAGAAAATGTTATAGACTATAAAGTCATAATTATAGGTACTAGCCCCGCGAATGACCCCAAGTCCTTATGCTACGATGTTACTCATGCTCAAAAGCATAGGTAGATACAGAAGATAAAACTAGGTAAAGGTTTTTCAAAAAATAAGGTGAATTACAAAATCTTTTCAAACAAATTTCATCCTCACAATAGAGGTTAAATCCCAACCGGTCCGCTTACGTCACAGTCTGTTGAACCGTTGAACTGAACCACGCGGAGCCGACCTCTGACACGCGTCGCTTTCCTTATAGATTAAAACGTCTCAAATTTTAGGTCAAACTTCTAATACGGACGCTTCAGAACATTATAAAGAACCAATATTTCCATATTAAATCACATGCATTAATATTATGTAGTACAAGGTTATAATGACATAACAGTTTGTCGGCATCAAGACGACACCTCATTATTTTACATAACTATATAAATATTTACATTCCATTGAGTGGGTCAAGTTTTATGCGATGATGCGTTTGCTATAACATAGCCATGTTTTTGAGCTTTTAATACTTTAATCCATAATGGACTTGGCAGCTATCAATTTATCAGGCTTATAAGAAGTGGCATTATTAGCAACCCCGCTCTTTTAATAGGTCAGTAGTTTCAACCTGATATTAAATATTTATTTTTGGATGACTTTTATATTATCTTTTTTTTTTTTTTTTTTTATGGCATAAGCTGGTAAACGAGCAGACGGATCACCTGATGGAAAGCAATCGGCGTCGCCCATGGACACCTGGAATACCAGAGGCGTTACAAGTGCGTTACCGGCTATTTGTGGATTAGGAGTTTGAGGATTGTTGGGGATTCAGGGATTGGGGAGATTGGGGAAGGGGAGGGAAATTGGGCCTCCGGTAACCTCACTCACGCGACGAAACACAATGCAAGCGTTGCTTCACGTCGGTTTTCTGTGAGGCCGTGGTATCACTCCGGTCGAGCCGGCCCATTCGTGCCAAAGCATGGCTCTCCCACACTTATCTTTTTATGAAAATTCCTGTTTTTTTAAAGTCTGCAAAAAATTTGCTACTTTATTTTGTTTTTGACGGCATATAAAGTCACCAAAAATGTGTGTCGCATGTTAAGGTTGCTCATGTAACCACATTTGAAATTATTGATTGGTGTATTGCAACCCTAGATAACAAGCCTCAGTGATTCTATGTCGCCAAAGTGACGTAAGAATATCATCACCAATTTGCGCAGCCCTGTGTGGTTAGGATTATGTTGACTTAACCCCGTTATTACCCAAGAATTCTTTTGTCATACGGTAAAACATCAACTATTAGCAAGAGCTTAAATTGAAGGTAATTTTTAGTTAAAATTTCCTAACATTCATACACCACGAATGAATGGTGTGTAATTTAGTTGAAAATCTTCTCAAATACTTCAATGAAACAAGTAGCTCGTCCCCATAAATTAAAATACCGCTCATCCATGGTCAAGACCTCTTAATGATTTTATTACTCGTCAAAGCACCACTGTTGACCTTCAGCTGTTAATTGCTTTTTGATTTAAGAGCCCTTGTATAAATGCACTGAAACATCGGATGTGGCAAAAAACGAAGACGTAACTGTAACATTTATCGATGATAAACAAGTCTTCGTAATGCCAATATATAGAGATACAATCTATAAAGTGAACTTTGTAACATTTAAGATCAGTCGATCGAATTTGCTTTGCGCATCTATCTAATTTCTGATTGCAAAGAATCTGTTGCTTCATTGACTACGTGATTTGCTGGCCATTACGAACATACGTTATTTGTTATGGGAAACAATCGTGTTGTGAAGTTGCTGTTAGTTTTTGAATAAATAAAAAGTAATCACTAAGTTACGTGATTGTTTAGATTGTTTTTTAATGTGTTCCATATAATGACAGGGATTTCTATATAGGTGTTTTTTTTGGCCGAAAAATGTATTCGGTTTCACATCTGAGGTCACCAAGAAAGGGTAGGTAATTTCTAAATACCAATAAAACAAGTGATAATTATTTTTCTTTTTGAAAAAAATCCATATTATTACCATCAGTTGGTCGTGTGATACTGTGTAGAGGTGATTTGGTAAGAATAAAAATTGTACGGCGCGCGGTGTATGGATCTTCCTTACAAAGCTTAAGTGAAAACGAAATTATTCACGACTATCCTCTTGTGACGTAACAATCGTGTCTGGCAGAGGCGTGAATGATAACAATCTTATGTCTCAACCAACATGGGAGTGTGCGAACGAAGAACCAATGCATGTAATAGAGACAAAATATAGATATCAAATAAAGATGTAATACAAATTACTCTGTCAGAATAATGCCCATAATAATCGGGGTTAAGGCGTCTATCGACTCATCCAAAGTCATTTAGATTTATCATTGGCATTATTACAACGGTAAGATGTATTAGTGTTATTTAAAAACATTTTTGCTTAAGTAATCGTTTGATTTTGGATCTAATAGATATTTCATGTCAGTCATCTCTATTTTGGAATTTTTATTCTTGTATGTTGTTTTTGGTTGTTTAATATTGAATAATTTCATTAAATGTTTTTGGAGACTGACAGCGCAACATTATATTTAATAGGGTCCATGAAGGTGGAAAAGGACAAAGTACTTAAATATAGTCATGGTGAGGAAAAGAAACGGGAGTATGACAGACTAAAGTGTTGACGACGTCGATGATGGAGGAAACCTTCAAAGGCTTTTGTGGATAAAAGACTAGGGAGTGCGGAATTTTTGCCTCACTAAAACCATCCCTGTGGCCCTCAACACCTGTATGGAGGCACTTGGTCATCTTTATGAAGACGGCTGGATATACTAGTGTCTTATTAACATGATATCTATAGATTGTATGAATCACTTTCAATCCGAAATAAGTTAACTAAGAAGAGTAATATGTATAGTACGCTATAATGTATTTAAAACGAGGCGACCACTCTATCTAGTTCATCCTCTGTGAAGCAGAGCAGCATGAAGCAGTAAACACGCCGTCGATCAACGTGACTGTCGAATATTGGAGACATATAGTACGCATCTTCTTCGGGAGAATATCTTTCTAGATCTATTTTGCATAGCTGGAATAAAACGAGTTGGGTTTTTTTAGATTTTGAGGCGTTTAGGTATTTAGCAGCTAAATTAATGTTAGTATTACACATAACAATGCGTTTACATAATATTAAAAGAAAATTAAAACATATTCCTTTTTTCCCAAAACCATTGTTTGTACGCTTGAGTAGAGGAGTCATAACAGAACATACGGATGCTAAGAGGGCGCAGGGTGGCTAAAGGGTTGGCAATTACAATTTACTATGAATGTTTGAATTGAATGTACGAATGTTTGTGGCTCTTACCCAAGTCTATCGCTCATAATAAAGCGAGTAAAAATATCTCATTTAAAGGCTAGTTAATAATACAGTACAAAATACCTTTTTATCGTCTCTGTCATAGCACACTAATTCCTCAAAATGACTGTTTACTTTGGCTTTTGGGAATTTGAAGTAGCTCTGTAACTCGGCGAAACGACCTAAATGCTAGAAAAATATATTTAAATTTAATAATTTCACTGTTACACGAAAAATCCTATAAATTGATAAATAAAAATTTATAATTTTACCTCTGCGTCTATAGTACCAGATTTTCTAATTGTATCTTGAGGGAATTCACTAGGAAATATTCTTCTTAATTCAATATCTTCACTGTAAGCAATAATTTATAGTACCAATCAAATGGATGACATTAAGCAATCACAGTTAAAACATTGACCAATCTAATTTATGTACTGGAGAGGATGCTTCTTAAACTATTGTTTAAAACTTGATCTTTAAAGTGTTGTGTTGTGTCTTTCTTTTTTTTTAATGGGAGAATATCATCCCATGACACTTCTCCCACCTAGGGTGAGGCGAGAGGGAGTGTCAGATTATTCTTCTTGACTGAAAACCGCTCCGTTTTTACACCTGCTCTTCGAGCCGGAGCCCCGTTAACCCGTTAAGTCTTTCGCGGTTCCGTAATTGTGTTATGTCTAGCAGTATCAATGAACAAAGTTAAACATTAAGCACTCACTAAGTATAAACTACACAGTGGCATCTTCTGATCAGACTGTTCAAGACCTATAAAATAAAAAATAATTTAGTACATTCTGACATTTTGGCCACAAACTTCATCTTGAAACTGTTAAATGCGCTTACTAGATATAAAGAAAAATAACTTAATGTCCTTAACATAATGAGATGAGACGTATTTTTGAGAGGCGCAATTTTTTTTCACAAATAAATGTAATCGAAATATAAATTCTAGAAATAAACGATCAAAAACTTTAATATCGTAAATGCTCAATTTTGATTGGTTCACTTTTACGATGTATTTATATTTGAAATATTATTTTTGATAAGACTTTTACATATGGGGTTATTGTAACACATTCTAGATAGATTTCAAAAGATTTATTTTTTAATTTCTCAAATAATACATGTTGTATAGCCCGTGATAGTGCACTATTACCTACATGCCATAATCTACTCGCTTGGCAAATGACTTAAAGATCGCAGTTTAAAACCTTCAGCTTTTTCGGAGACTGCTGTTGCCCATAAGCCCCTAAGTTCAAATGTTACAGCGAAACTTATGGCATCTCTTTTCATCATAGTTATAAAAACCTTCTAGCTACACCAATTAAAAATTGTAGAATGTGTTGAAGTTATTTCTCCATTACAACTATGAAGTGTTTTCATGAGAAAACACTTCATTTAATGTTGCTGTATAGAGATATCGAAGGTAAATATTCTACAATCTTTATAAACTTGTTCAAAATAAAAGCAAAAGTATAAGACCAACCTTTAATAAATTCGTATCGTTTAAAATAACCACTCGAATTGATATCATGTTCTTGAATGTCGTATTATACGCTCGTAATTTCAAAAATATTTTTTTTCTTTTTCGAACAACGAGGTGTAAATTGGGATGGAACAAGTTTGTAAAGGCGATAAGGTACACGCAACTCTTTGCTCGGTTTGGTTACAATCGTAAAATATATTGGTTTGAATATTACATGTAGATAATAAAGAGGTACAGTGAACCAAGTGATTTGATAGGCTGCTAAGAAAATAAAGATAGATTCAGCAGCACAGAGACAGTTCGACTCAATGGTCGACCTACTACATACTAAGAAAAGATACGGCTTTGTGAAAAGTATCATTAGTTTAAGAAAAGTATATAGTAAGTACCTAAGTATTCTATATTTATTTTCTTACGTGTTGACTGACTGCACTTTTCGGGTTTTCTTGTTATTTACTCGCCGCAAATATTATTAAGGTACAAAGAAGAGCTTGACCACTAAACAAAATAAAATTAAATAGATTTCCTTATAGCTAAACCAAAATATTCTAGTTAACTATAAGTTATTTTATATTTCGCCAAGAAGGTAAAAGCCTTCTAATCTAAATGTGCTTAAGTAAAACTAAGTACATACGAAGAATTTCAAAGTCACATCCAATGGTAATAAAAACGTCATTCCGCAATTGAAAAAAAGAAAAGCGATTTAAGAAGGTAATAATAAGAAGCCTTTAAAAATTGTCTATACTGTACCTACATAACTTTTATTTTATTTATTTACTAGCTTCTGCACGTGACTTCGTACGCGCAACTCCGATATTTCCCGTTCCCGTTCTTGATTTTCGGTAAAAAGTAAAAAAAT